CCACTTCAGATCAGAGCATGTGATTTAAAGCCCTGCACAGCTTTCTGGAGGCGTCTGGAGGCCCCGCCGGGAGGCAGGAATGGGGGGGCAACAGCCTGTCATGTGGATGCTGACCAGGTGGGGAGACCCGTTTCTGGAATGGGGGGGTGGGCGGTGGGGGCTGGCTAACAGCTTCAGATGGTAATGTCAGCCTCAAGGACAGGACAAGGGCACATCTGGCATCCTGTCTGAGGCCTCCCGAGTGTCTGTGGTGTGTTGGGCTCTCCCGTGCTTTATCTCCTGTGGGGACTTGCCACGTCCCCGGGCAGGGAGCACCCTAAAGCAGGAGGCAGTATGTTCATATTTAAATATTTCTTTTTTAATGTTTATTTATTTCTGAGAGAGAGAGAGAGAGAGCACACAAACAGGAGAGGGTCAGAGAGAGAGGGAGTCACAGAATCAGAAACAGGCTCCAGGCTCTGAGCTGTCAGCACGGAGCCCGACATGGGGCTCGAACCCACGAACCGTGAGATCATGACCTGAGCCGAAGTTGGACGCTTAACCGACTGAGCCCTGTGGGTGCCCCAGTGTGTTCCTATTTAATATCCAGCCCCATGCTGGTACCTGTACCCTGTCAGCGGGTGTCCACCCCCAACACGGAAGAGAATGAGGGTGTCCTGGGAGAGATACCTGCCTCCCCGTTTGCTCACTTCCCACAGGTTGTGATGAAGGTCTGCCCAAGTGGATTTAGGGGTAATGTGATCTGGTTTTAAACAAATGAATCCTCCACAACAATCAAGTAGCTTCCGAAAGCGTCCTGTAAAGACATGGCAAATAACCCCAACAATCCACACGGGGTAAGGAACCTCGGAGGAGACACATTCTCTCTCCTGATATGTGCTCGTTGTCACCCGCGGTGCCCACCTGCTGGGAAATTAGCCCCAAATATAAAAAATAAACAAAACCAAACAGTTGGAAACAGCTCCACCCCCATCGTTACCGGTGAGAAGCTTTGCCCCGAGTGACTGGCGCCTTGAGACTCGATTCAATGACAGCATGAAATCCTCACGGACAGCAAGGTATTTAAAAACGAAGCTTTCAGAACGTGGAGACAAACCCCCGCGATGCTTTTCCCAGCGACGTTTAAAGTTATGTGCTTTTCAACTCAGTACTTTTCTGATATTTCCCTAAGCAATGATAAATATTTGGAAAGCTCTCTTAAAGTTTCTTGCATAATAGCATGAGACAAAAAACACCTACCACCAGGCAAACACTTATTTTTTTTCTGCTGCAGTAAAAATGGCAGAAACAATGAACAGAAAATGATCTGTCGACGAACCGAAAGGCATTTCTTTGTCAGCAAATCCTGTCAGAAGATGCAGAGAAAACACTACCACAGATTGGAGGGAAGTGCTAGCCCAAATTACCCGGTGTGGGAGGCTGGCTGTGTGGTTTTTTACACATCTCAGCTTCAGGTATTTGCTTGGGTTCTGTTCCAATAAAGAAATACACAAACCACTTGCGTGTGTGTGGGGGGGTGGGGGGTGGGAAGGAAAGACAGTGAGAAGATAGATGAATGCCTTGTTTCATAAGAACGATTGCAAATGGGAAAAGCAGTGTCATGTACCTGCTGATGAACAGCTACTGAGAAAGGATTTTTTAAAGGATTCTGGATGAGGAAAAAGTGTGGAGGTAGCTGTACTTGTCGAACTCACTCACTGGCCTATCGAGTCAAACCACTGTAGGAAAGAACTAGAAGCCCAAGGGCACAGGAGGAGCCCTCCGTGGTGTTAACTTTAAAAAAATCAACGTTGTCTGGGGTGCCTGGGTGGCTCAGTTGGTTGGGCTTCCAACTTCGGCTCAGGTCATGATCTCATAGTTTGTGGGTTCGAGCCCTGCATCAGGCTCTGTGCTGACAGCTCAGAGTCTGGAGCCTGCTTCGGATTCTGTGTCTACCTTTCTTTCTGACCCTCCCCTGCTCACGCTCTCTCTCTGACTCTCAAAAATAAATAAAAAAACATTAAAAATAAAAAAAAAAAATCAAGGTTGTCTGGGCACCTGGGTGGCTCAGTCAGATAAGCCTCTGACCTCGGCTCAGCTCATGATCTCACGGCCCAGACATCTGAGTCTCAGCCCCTTGTCGGGTTCTGTGGCAACAGCTCAGAGCCTGGAGCTGCTTTGGATTCTGCCTCTTCCTCCCTCTCTGCCCTTCCCTCACTTGTGCGTGCTCTCTCTCTCTCTCTCTCTCTCAATAATCAATAAACATTTTAAAAAAGTTAAAAAAAAATATCGGTGTTGTTCTAGTAGAGCAGAATCTTTATGATCCTTGGTAATAAGATCAGGTGTGACCAGGAAAGTTTCCAGGGCACACAAGAATGGGGAGAAAGGGCTGTCGTGAATTCTTTTCTTTCCTCCTACCTTTCCCTCCTTCTTAAAGACTGAGGTGCTGACATTTCTTGAGGAGACGAGAGCTATCAGTTTTAGGCACCCAGTAAAATGATTGGAAAAACAGATTCACCTTCCCCGCATCTGCCCCTTCCAGGGAAAGATGTTAAAACAAATGTTTGAAAATATTTCCATGGATCTGTGATTTTGTGATTTTGTGGCTAACAATGTGTTTGACCCACAAAACCTACACTGTGAGGGGAAAAAAACCCAAAACCTTGGGAGCTGTCTGTTTTTTTTTTTTTTTTTAAATGTTTTATTTATTTCTAGGAGAGAGAGAGAGACAGCGTGAGCAGGGGAGGGTCAGAGAGAGAGGGAGTCACAGTCTGAAACAGGCTCCAGGCTCTGAGCTGGCAGTCAGCACAGAGCCCGACGCGGGGCTCGAACCCACGAACCGCGAGATCATGACCTAAGCGAAAGTTGGACGCTTAACCGACTAAGCCACCCAGGCGCTCCAGGGAGCTGTCTGTTTTTTAAAAATGTAGATGCAGTTTACCTACCGTAAAATTCACTCTTCTCAAGTGGACAATTCAGTGGCTTCTAGAAAACCCAAAATGGTGCAACCATTACCACTAATTCCAGAATAGTCTGTTTTTTAAACCTGTAGAGTTTTAAAGTTTTTTAATCTTATTTTTTTTAAGTAAACTCTACCCCCAATATGGGGCTTGAACTCATGACCCTGAAATCAAGAGTCACATGCTGTACTGACTGAGCCAGCCAGGTGCCCCAAAACCTGTAGAGTTTTAATAAGGGGTTTGCAACCCATTTATGACGTGTACACACGCAGCACCTTCTCACTGGCTTGTAGGACCAACTAATGACAACAGGGAAGACAGAAATAGAGCAGCTGGATTTTTATCAAGCCTTCGCATAATTGGTGGACGGAGTTTCAACATGAGTATGATAATTTAGGAAGCCTAGCCAGTGATGCCTTTGTCCCATTCAGCTCCCACATTTTTGTGACAGCCACTAAAATCCAAAATTGAAATAAACTGCCCTGGGGGCCCTGCCTTCAAATTGATGTTTTACAGTGGGAAACCAAGATTTTAGTAAATAAGAACGATGACAATTCTGTGTGATGACAGATGGTAGCTTAGCTCACCATGACCATTTCTTACTGTACATCTATAATCACCGTGTTGTACATCTGAAATGAATACAATATTGTATGTCAATTACTCTTGAATTAAAATTTTTTTCATGTTTATTTTTGACAGAGAGAGAGGGAGGGAGGGAGCACACGTGTACATAAGCAGGGGGAGGGCAGAGAGAGAGGGAGAGGGAATCCCAAGCAAGCTCTGCAATGTCAGCGCACAGCCCGGTGTGGGGCTCGAACTCGTGAACCGCAAGATCATGACCTAAGCCGAAATCAAGAGTCAAACGCTCAACTGACTGAGCCACCCAGGTGTCCCCAAATAAGATTCTTATTCCTGAAATAATCAAAGTGTTATTTTCCAAGAGTCAGGTCACATTATGCCCCTGTTCAAAGCCTTCCAATTTACATACCACACGGTGGATAAAGTTCAAACTCCCCACCCGCCTGCTCCTATCTCTTATCCCTTGGGTTTTACCCCCAACTCCACCCACCCCAACTCTGGTCTTGCTTGTGGCCTGGAACAGCACTTGCTGACTGCTGCCTCCGGGCCCTTGCACAGCTGTTCTGTCTGCATTGCTCAAGCCCTCACTTCCTTGTCTTTGGTCCACTGTCTGCTCCTCAGGTAGCCCCTCCCTGACCTCCAGATCTGAACTATCCACCCCATCCCCTCTCCCACAGACACAGTAATGATTTTTCCCTCTAGAACATATCACTACCGGCATTGCACTGTATTATAAGTTTATTTGATTAGTGCTTTGTCTTTCTCAGTAGAATAGAGGCTCGGGGCAGGGGAGGGGGGAGAAGGGGTGGTGGGGACGGGGGGAGGGGTCTGCTCTCTTCACAGATCTAGGCCCAGCACCCAGATGGCTTCCTGGAGGCGGCAAGTGTTGCTCTGGGGCTGCCTGCCCCGCGTGCTCCTTGGATCTCCCAGCCTAGCATGGTCACTGAGGGGGTGAACATCAGTAGCTAAGTGTCTTGGGACAAGTCCCTCCATTCTGTGTCACCATCTCCTCTCTGCGTCACAGAGCCGCGGGGCCCCCTAGGAGGCGCCCCTGGAGGAGGGCAGGCTCCTCAGCCAGCAGGGTGCCTGGAGCTACCCCGGCCAGTTGTGGGGTGACAGGAAGCCAGCCTTCTCCAGGAGCCCTGACGTGCCCGAGTCCTCGGTGCCAGGAAGACCACAGCGAAGAAACGTGGGGGGGGGGGGGGCTCTAGGATACGGTGCCCGCCTGCCCCTCAGGCGGGGCGACCTGCCGGGCGGCACCTGGCGCTCAGAGCCCCGTGCTCACCATGGCACTGAGGTTGAGGGGTGGGAGCTGAGCCCAGGGGCCCCGTGGGTGCCCGGGAAGGCCGCGACCGCAGCCTCCAGGGCGCGCCAGGGCTGAGGCGAGTGTGCCGCCCGCAGGTGGAGGCCTGCGGGGCGGGGCCTGCGGCGGCGGCCCGGGGGTGCGGCCTGGGGCTGGGGGCTGCGGGCGGGCCGCGGTCACGCCAGCAGCAGCCCCAGCAGCGCGGCGGCCAGCAGCGGCAGCCACGGCGCGCCCGCGGCGTCGGCGGCGTCGGCAGAGGGCCGCAGGCCGCAGTTGGTGTAGGGCTCCAGGCAGGCCGCGAAGGCCATGACGTGCGCCACGAAGGTCTGCTCCTGCACGCCGTGCACCAGGTGCGCCTGCGGGCCGCGCGCGAACACCACCACGTCCTCACCGCCGTGCGTCTCGGACGCCAGGGGCACCGCCGCCTGCTGCTGGTATGACGGGTCCCCTGGGCGGGGGAGGGGAAGGGGGAGGTTCAGGGCCCCGCCGCGTGGGCCCTCGTTTCCCCCCTTCCCTGCCCCCCTCCGGACCGCCCGCCCAGCTGGCGGTGGCACTCACGGCTCAGGCTGTCGTTGACGTCTGGCCGGGAGCTGTTCAGGAGCTCGAAGCCCCCGGGGCCGTTGCCATAAAGGATGGAGGTGTACCTCTTGTTGTCTTTGGCTTTGCTGGGGGCCAGCCCTGCAGGGAGGGGGACCCGGTGACCACCCTGACCACAGCGAGGGGCCTCCCGTGTGCTAAGGCTAGTAAACCGAGGCACTTGTTGGCCTACTTGCTGGCTTGATCCTCACAAGAACCCTACAAGGCAGTTGCTGTCATTACCCCTTTTGACAGATGAGGGAAGGGAGAATCAGAGCAATTTCCGCCCCATCGTTTAGGACTCGCCGCAGGCTCCCTGGGCCTACCGAAAATGGAGCTGCCTCGCAGCGTGTAGCCGCCGAAAGAGAAGACGTGAGAGTGGTCAGCGGTGACGAGGGTCAGTGTGTCCTTCTCGCTTGTGATCTGGCCGGCCTTGTCAATGGCAGAGTCGAACATGACGGCCTCCGTCAGGGCCAGATAGGCGGTGCCTTCGTGATGCCCGTGGTCGATGCGGCCTCCTGCGAGAGGAAGGTGGAGGGTGCCCAGCCAGTCCCACTTCCGCCCTCAGCAGGGGGCTGCCGGCCACGCACCCTCCACAAAGAGGTAGAAGCCCCGGGGGTTCCTCCTCAGCAGGTGCAGGGCCGCCTCGGTCATCTCCATCAGGGATGGGTCCTGGTCATGGTTTCGGTGGGCCTCGTACTTCATGTCTCCTGGCTCAAAGAGGCCTGTGGGGAAGGGGGCCGGTGGTGACGGGTAAGTGGGTGTGCACATCTTCACGGATGCTTGGCCCTCTGCGGACCTGGGGGGGCCAGGGCAGGAATGTGGGGGTGGCCGGTGTCATTACCCATGAGGCGCGTCACGGAGGGGTCCTGGGAGGCCTGAAGGAGTGCCGTGCGGTTCCACACGTACCGGGCACCCTGCTAGGGGTGGAGCCAGGCCTCAGTCCATAGCCCTCTGATCCTCGGTCCCTCGAGAGCCCCGTGCACCCAGGGGCCCCCATCACCTGGTGCTTAGCCTGCCACTCCTGCACCAGGTTGCTCCCATCCAGCCTGACCCCGTCCTGTGTGGCATTGCTCGGGTACTCGGGGTCTGGAGTCCCCTTGGGAAACATGTACTTCCGGCCTCCGCCCAGGATCACCTGTAGCCAAAGGATTAGGCAGGTGGGCTTGGGGCCGGCTGGCCCTTCGCTCCCTCCTCAGAGAGCCCCTAGCACCTTTCAGGCCTGTGGGCGTGGCCTGTCCCGGGTGGTACCTCCTCCACCCCCTCGGCCCCCACCCTAAGCTCCAGGGAACCCTGCTGGGCTCCAGAACTCAAGCTGCCAGGGGACTGTGGCCAGTGGAGACGCGCCCCCTCCCCCTGCTTGCCCGCCACGTCTCACATCAATGTCCATGTTGAAGACGAGCTGCCTGGCGATGTCCTGGCATCCCTTCCTCCGCGCCTCGGCGGGCATGTCGGCGTCTGCGTACCAGTTGCGGTTCACCACATGTGCGTAGGTGCCGGCGGGTGAGGCGTGCTGCACTCTCGTGGTGGTCACCAACCCCACAGACTTCCCTGAGGGTGGCGGAGGTCAGGCTGAGCCCCTGGGGCCTCGATTCCTGCCCCTGCCCACGAAGCTGGCCCCAAGCCCACCTGCTTTCTTGGCCCGGTTCATCACGGAGATGACCTCGTTGCCCCGTGTTGTGTTGCACTGGTTAAAGCGGGCTGCGGCGCTCAAACCAATGGTCTGGTAGTTGGCCTTGACCCCGCACAGGTAGGCTGTGGCTGTGCCTGCGCTATCTGGCACCTGTCTGTCCACGTTGTATGTCTGGGGACAGAGACACTCTCAGCTCCCCTGTGACTCCGCCAGACAGCCAAGATCCTGACACCTAGGCCTGGGGGCCCACCCTCACTGTCCTGGTGCCCGAACTCGGGCTCCAGGCCTGCTGGGCCCTCCCCTCCTGCCACACTCCCGAGCCCCCCCACACCCCTCTGGGGGGGAGCACCCCGAGGCCACCCAGCCCTTACCTTGGACAGAGCCACGTACGGAAAGTGGTCCATGGCCAGGGGCGTCTCGCATCCCAGTTTGCCATTAATCTGCCCCTTTAGGATCCGAGTGGCTGTGACCGTGGGCACCCCCATCCCTGAAGGAGCACAGCTCGTCAGGCCTGAGTCCCCAGGGTGGTGGGAGCCACGGCGGGGGGGGGGGGGGGGTTTACAGGCCTTGACACTCACCGTCCCCCAAGAAGAGGATGAGGTTCTTAGCAGCCGTCTGGATGGGCTGCAGTTCCTTCGCGGCGTCCAGGGCCTGGGCTGCCTGGCGGTTCCAGAAGGCCGGGTCCTCCTCCTCAACTGGCCAAGGGGAGAGTGGAGGCCAGGTCAGAACTGGGGGAGTGTCCTATAGGTGGGGGGCCAGCCGGGAGGTGCCTCATTACCTGGGATGGTGCCGAGGGACAGCTGTGGCCTCAGGCCCAGCAGCAGGAGCAGCAGCCAGGCGCCCTGCATGCCTGTGGGACGGTGGGACGGCAGCGAGGCCAGGGCTCCGGGGACGCTGGGGCCCGGGAGGGGCCAGAGCGTGGGTACTAGCCTCAGGACAAGCCGCTTGGGCTTAAGCCAGGGGAGAACTTTGTCCCTGGTTGTAAAAGACTCCATGTCCCTCCCATTGTCCCCGGTGGCCACCTTGACCCCGCCCCTGCCCTGTGACTTTAAGTCACGCTGGCAGAAGGGGAGTGACAGGGCGCGGCTGGGCAAGCCTCAGGACCGGGGTCCTGGAAAAGGCAGGTCTGTCCAGCACAGGCGGTCCCCGCTGTCTCCCTAGAGCGGGGCGGGAGTGAGGGGGCACATCCCCTTTGGGTGAGAAGCATTTGGGTGAGGGGCCCCTCCCAATCCTTTGCTCAGATACACTTGTGGGAGAATCGTTACTCCTTCGTTCAGTGCTCTCTGCAAGCCAGCTTCGGGCAGGCTGGGGGGTGGGGCGCTCACATGCCGCCCGGGCCAGGGGTCCGGGTTTGGCTTTCTGATGCCGGGACGCCCCGAGACATGGGGAAGGAGACATTCTCGGGTGGCCTGGCTTCCGACCAGGACTGGTGGGGGCAGGTGGGAAGGGCGTCGGGCTCAGAGGGTGCCCAGGGGCCTGGACCCAGAGTCCTTTGTGCTGTGGAAAAGGGTGGGGCTGTTGGTGACAGAGTGGAACCCTGTCTGTGTGTCCAGTTACTGGCCAGACTTGTGGGGCATGTGTGTGGGCATGTGTGTGGGGCAGGCAGGGGTGGGGATCCAGGGTGTGTGAGGCTGACCTCTGCTCGGGACAGGCAGAGAGAACCCAGGGGTGAGTCACTTCTTTCCATGGGCCGTGCATACCCACAGACGTTGCTTCTGATAAGGAACTAAGAGGTTTCTGTGACCAGGCTGGTTCAGAAACATTCCTCCAACCCAGCAACTGCGTGTCTGGGTGTCTCTCCAGAAGATTTGAGAGCAAGGTCTGGAAGAGAGATCTGCCCCGCCATGTTCATAGCTGTGTTGTTCACAGTAGCCAAGAGATGGAAGCAACTCAGGTGTCTGTCACGAGATGAACGTATGAACAAGATGGGGTCCATCCACATAACGGGGTTCTACTCAGCCTTATAAAAGCAGGGGATCCTGTCACCCGCTGCAACATGGAGAGCCCTCAGTGGATGATGCTCCGTGAAACATGCCAGCCACTGAAGGGCAAACGCTCTGTGATTCTACTTAGACGAGGCATCTAAAGTCATCAGATGCCTAGGAACTGGTTGCCAGGGCCCAGGGGGAGGAGGCCAGGGGAGGAGGTGTTTCGTGGGAACAGGGTTTCAGTTTTGAAGGTGAAAACCGTCTGCAGGGCCGCCGTACAACAGTGTGCACGCGCCTCGCTCTGCCGAACCGGACACTTACCAGAGGTGGTCACAACAGTGAATTCTGTGCTGTGCTTTTCACCCCAATTTTAAAAAATATGGGGAGCGCCTGGGTGGCTCAGTCGGTTTGAGCCCCGCATCTAGCTTGATGCTGTCTGCTCAGAGCCCGCTTTGGATCCTCGGTCCGCCTCTCTCTGTGGCCCTCCCTCACTTACGTGAGCATTCTCTCTCTCTCTCTCTCTCTCTGTCAAAAATAAATAAACCTTAAAAAATTTTTTTTCTTTTTTTGGAGAAGAAAAACCTTCCTGCCAGCTCCACCCACCCCAGCGGACCACGGTAGCTCCGTTTTGCGCTCTGGCCTCCTCACTACCTAAGCCCCAAAACCAAGGTGACTGTCCTGGCTGCCAGCATCTCCCTGCCCAGTCCCCACCTCTCAAGCAAGGGCTTTCCTGGGGGCCTCGTCCACACTGACCTGGCTGTCCGCTACATCTGAGGAGAGATATCGCCTTGGGACACATCCTTCCTGGCCTCTGAAGTGTCCCTGGAGCTCCTTCTGTCCCCTGCACCCTCTTGCTGTGCTAGGGAAATTCTTGGCTAAAGGTCAGGGGAGACTAATCCCTGGGCAGGTCCCTAATTAATTAATTGGTTCTTTTTACCAGGCTGTAGGTGAAAGGTGTGTTATTCCAAGATTAGTCTTCCTTCCAGTGAATTCCCCACCCCCTTTTTCAATCGGAATTGTTGACGTAACTGTAGACTCACATGCAGTTGTAAGAAATAATACGGAGAAACCCTGGGATGCTGCCCGATTTCGCCCACTGGTACAAGTCACAGACTTTCAGATTCCTCTTCGGAGTTCCCGTTTTACGTGTACGCCTTTGTGTGGGCATGTGGCTTCCATGCTGTCTTGTCACGTGCATGGGTTCATGTAAACAGCACTACAGTTAACATACAGAAAAGCCCCAACCCCGCAGATTGGAACAGATCCCTTTATAACCACCCGTACCTCCCTCCCACACCCCTGCTCAGTCCCAAACCCTTCTCCTGCATTTCTAAACTGTTGTCATCTCAAATTGATGGGGAAAAAATGATTTTATAAGATGGTGAACAGGACTGATGGGGAATTCTAGTCCCCACCCCAAAGCTCCCCTTCTGGGTTCTTCCTGTACGCTTGCCGCATGCGCCAAATGACTACTAATGTGCAATGCGGAAGTAACAGACTATAAATTGTCCTCCCATCCTCAAGCTCGGGACTCAGACGAGTGATCTCCTCTGAGCACATCGTGTGAAATAAACCTCTTGCCTTCCAAGATCTCCGAGTGCTGCTTGGTTCTTCCGCTGGGTGATCCAGACCAGGTTCCGGAACAAAATAAGTTACATAGATGGAATCATATAGTCTTTTGGGGTTGGCTTTGTTTTTTTTCCACCCAGGATAGTTCCCTGGAGATCCATCCAAGCATATTGTATCAAGTCATATCAATGACTCCTTTGTATCACTGAGTGCATTCTGTGGGATGGGTTGACCACAGTGTTTCCTCATTCACATGTCCAAGGACAGACACTGGGCTGACTCCAGTCTTGGCTATTATAAATAAAGCCGCTGTGAATATTCATTCAGGTTTTTTGGGGAACATACGTTTTCATTTCTTTGTAATAACCACCAGGGACGGGGACCGTAAGCCCTTTCTATGACATTAGGTAGTCACATTTGTGATCAGCTCTGGTTTCTTGTGAATTTTGCCACGTGCCTGAGGGGGACTGGAGACCAAGCATACAGCACATATCAACAAAGCATGCTTACTCTCCACAATAGCTAAAACATGGAAAGAGCCTAAGTGTCCATCAACAGATGAATGGATCAAGAAGATGTGGTTTATCTATACCATGGAATACTACATGGCAATGAGAAACAATGACATCTGGCCATGTGTAGCAACATGGATGGACCTTGAGGGTGTTATGCTGAGCGAAATAAGTCAGGCAGAGAAGGACAAATATCGTATGTTTGCACGTATAGGAGGATTAGGAGGAACTTGACGGTGGAACAAGCGGGAGAAGAAGGGCGGAAATGGTGGGGGAAAGGGAGAGAGGCAAACCATGAGAGACTCTTGAATGCTGACAAAAACTGAGGACTGATGGATGTGGGGGGGAGGGGGGGATGGGCATGGAGGAGGGCACTTTGGGGATGAGCACTGAGTGTTATGTAGAAACTAATTTGACAATAAACTATTTGTAAAAAATAAAAAAAAAAAACAAAAAAAAAAAAAACAAAGCATGCTTGTCATATTTGAAGCCTGCAGCTATGACTGGCTGCACGGGGCCACCAGGGAGGCCACGTAGGGAGGCACCTTTGGGCCTGAGTCACCTAACTGTGATGACATCCGGTTACAGTCCTTCCTCTGGGGCCCAGGCTTACAAGTCAGCAGGCAGCAGGCTCCTTCTGGTCTTTCTGCTGCGGAGTAAGACATATGATGCCTCTTGGGGCGCCTGAGTGGCGCAGTTGGTCAAGCATCCGACTCTTAATTTCAGCTCAGGTCATGATCTCATAGTTTGGGAGATTGAGCCCTGTGTCTGGCTCTGAGCTGTCTACATGCCGCCTACTTGGGATTCTCTCTCATCTGCCCCTCCCACACTAGTGCCCTCTCTCTCCTCTCTCTCTCTCAAATAAATAAACATTAAAAAAAGGGGGGGGGATAATGCCTCTTGGGTAATTGTTAGCTCAGGCTGAAGGATGCCTCGCTCTGTGCAGCCGGCAGTCTGGTTGTCCTGGTGTGTCTGCTCCCTGGGGAGGAAGGGCCTGCCCTGTGGGGCCCCAGCTGGAGCCCTGGCACCCACCACCGTTGTCCTCATCTACCATGGAGGCTGTTCAGGCTGTGTCCGGCACCCAGCGCAGCGTGCAGACAGGCACTGAGGGGGAGGCCGAGCCCGCCCAGTCTCTAGCAGCCGCTGCCGCCCTACGGAACAATGGCTCCTTCCTGCCTCCTGCCCCCCTAGGAAATGTAGTGATGGCCCTGCCACTTGGGGAAGCATGGGCGGAGCTGGGAACGACCATCCGTCACCAAAAGACAACACCCCTGAACATGGTGGGGAACACTTTGGGGGAAATGGAGGCATCTCTTTCTAGGGGTCAGTTTCTCCCATTCAAGCCTCCCACCAGCGCTGCAGAAATAGTAGGAGTGTCCCCATTCAGGCTGGGATGCCAGAAGCAAACACAAGTTGTATTTTGCCTTCTTTCCACGGGCAGACCTCCAAGCCTGAAGCCACCTGGGGGTCTAGCAGGCAGGGGGGAGGGCCCTGGGTGAGCAACGGGGGGCAGAGGTGTTATCTCAGCCCCTCCTAGCCACAGTGGCGGTGTGTGACCGTCCCTGTGTTTCTGATGACGTGTCCCCCTCTCTGGCCAGGTCTTCCCCTTGCAGTTCTGGGGCAGGAGAGGGGGCTGGCCTGCCTGCCCCTCCCCCTGGCCTGAGCATGGGCCCCTCAAGAAAGTCACGGGGACCATGCTGCTCACGGAGCAATTGGCTGCATCGTGGCCTGGGGAGCTGATGGACCAGGAACACTCAGCTGAGGGCAGGGGGCATGGCCAGGGTCACGGGCTCGATGAGAGAGTTCTTGTGGGGGGGGTCACATGGAAAGCACTGGCAG